AAGGGGCATGACTAACAGGTGTCCCATTGGTGGTGCAACAGGTTACTGTTTAAATAATCACACAAGAGTGCGACTGAGAAAACGAGGGCCCCCCTTTTGTCTTTTCCAACGGGCCATGACGCCCACGGATGGCCATTTTGGGGCTCCCAAGAGTGACGGACCTGAAGATTTGTGGGGCAGAGGGCAAGGGTCGTCCCCCAAGCTAGGGGAAAGGAATTCACCCAGGCAGCCTGACATTCCCCCAACTGGAAAAATGACTCTGTCTGCAAACTGTCTCAGACCAATCCAAAAATATTGCGCATTGGGATGTTTCCCGCCACCTACAGACCGTAATTGTAAAATTCTAACCAGACTTATTACACATGATTCAAACCGTGTCCTAAAATTTTGACCACAGCACCACCAACCAGAAGGCTGCAAAACTGTTTTCGATTTAGCTGGAATGTAGGATTTAGTTGGTTGGAATTCATTTCAGACTCGGCCAACATTTCAGTCCAGTGTGGTCAGCAATTAAAAGGGTCTGCTGGACATATTTGCATGCGTGTTTACTAAACATCAACCTCTCCAAATTTTTGATCTGTATGACTGGTGATTGAGAGCCTCTTTGATGATGTTGCAACCGGTTAAATCTTTGTTCGGAGTCCAAGGAGCTGCATGTGAGCTGTTTGTATTTCCACTGTACCAGAGACCCCTGTAACTCCAAATACCAGATGAAGATGTAAAGAAAGAAAATATTTCCTGACAGATGTGTCGATTGACAGCGGCCTTTTGACCTTTTGAACATTGACCCTTTTCTCCCATATCACTGGGTTTTGTAGCAGTGACCCCCTTTTTTGGGAGACATGATGCTCGACAGATATTACAGCATGGCGGGGGTCCATGGGGTATGGATGATGATAGATTAACCGACTGCTTTCCCTGTCTGCCGAAACGCAGGGAATCACCTATGCTAGAAGACAAGTATGACTGACTGTGGCACCTTACGGTAAAAACCACAAGACCCTAAGCCCATGATCTGCTCAACAGCTCACTCAGCTTTTATTTGTTTTCACTGAGTGTGTATTAACACTCTGTGAATGTCAGTCAGGTGGAACCGTCGGTCATATGAGTGTAAAAGGAGGAGACACCAAAGGCTTGTTGGGAGGCGCTATTTCCAGACGGCCTCACCCTGCCTGGCGGTTACGATGCAGGGTCGGATGGGCCCACTCAAACATCTTTGACACTCTGCACTCACTATCTCTGTCACCAAGTCTGCTAATGTTTCTAGGATGCAGAGACATTAAAATTTGGCCCTGGTACACTCGGAGTCACTTTTAGATTTTGTTCACACAGTGTTCAGGTTTATTCAGGTCTATTTCGGGCTGAGGATACAGGAGCTTTGTAGACAACATTTTTGTCTGGGTTCAACAAGCACTTTCTTGTGGGGTCCCATCCATGTGTTTTGGATTATCTGTCATGTGTTTTCCATGTGTGGCACCCTTTCATAAATTAATGAAGGTGCAGGAATTATTTGAATTGTATTTCTTTTATTCTGTTTTAACTCCCTTTGCTCTGTAGCCATTTGTTTGCTGTTACTTTGCTGTGATTGACTGAGAATTGATTGCTCAACATATAATTAGTTACTTCTAGCATTTACTCTTTCAGTGTCGAAGTTCCCATACAGAAATAACTCGACTGGATTTAGAACACATCCCTTTTGCCAACACGTTTGCTACTTACGAATGGTCACCTGGCAGATTTATCCCAGTTCAATAACACCTTACTATCTCATAGGATTTATTTTTAAACAAAACACACCGCTTCTGAAACAATTTCAAAGCATTTGAAAGAAGAAGAGGAACTTCATATATCAGTGACCTTCCTCAGTTCCAGCTATCTCCTGCATCCGCCTGTGAGTCTTCTCTCCAATTAGTGAGAGGAAAAACAACCTAACTCAGAGAACTGAGACAAATTCAATCGTTGAGTGGAAAAAAACAGACCCTGTGTTTGATCTCTTCAGGCAACAGTATAAAGAAACCTTCCCTGAAACATGTTATCTTTAGAATAGAGTGCAGCCTCACCTCCTCCACCTCGGTGACCTTGTCATTTGGCTCTCCGTCTTATCAGAGGAGGGAATGATGTCAGCACTCATCCCTTTTTCACCATAACAAGGGGTGAAACCAGACTCTCCTGCAGCCCAGTCAGTTAGAAATAATTAAAGTGGAGGCTCAGTGATTTAACAGGAGACCACAGATCAATAATAGCCTGTAGTGTGAAGAGTGAAAATGCTGGGTAGGTTTTTGCAGAAAATAAAAGTAAAATAAAAAGCCCTCTCTACGGATTCTGATGTGTTTCCAGCGTCACATGAGGGCCGGTGTAATGCAGTTGGCTGCCAAAGTCTGGTTTTTAATTGGCTCCCTTGTGTTGATCATTGGACTGTTCTCTCCTGCACTCCTGAAGTAGCAGTACAGTGCTACCGCCTTTGCTGCCTATTAGAACTGACAGTTTAGCATCCATCACTTAAAGTCTCCAATTTCTCATCCTCCTGTCTCGGGGAGAACTCTGAAACCTGTCCGGCTGCACTGCTTTCCCTTGTTATTTCTGCTTTGTTGTCCTTTTGTTTAGGCTGTATGGACGTATGCAGAACAGTATTAACCCCCAGTCCTCCAGTGTGTGTCAATCAACACAGTGCCTGTCCTTTGTGCATCACGTCACTTTTGCTGAGCGCCTTTAGCCAAGATGAAAAAGCCATCTGACCCCTTTTAAAGTGGAGCTCCGCTTGCAGCCCTGTGATCGCTCTACCATTTGTGCCCTTCCCCATGGTTTGGGTTTGCCCCCACATTTCATGGCTTCAGACACTCTCACTGAGATCAAACTCCCAAAGTCGCGACCCCTTGGTGGGACTCCCTGTGAAAGTGCTAATGACCCTGTTTGTCTGAGGAGAAACCAGCTCTTCTTGCCCCCCCCCCCCCACCTTCCGTTCTTACTTTATAGTGATTACTTTGCCACTTGTGCCCTACTTGTATGACCTTAACTGCCTTAATGGCGGAGGATGGTTGAACTTTCACTGTAGGTCAGTGTCTTTGGTGGGAGAATAGTGCTGGTCTTGTTTTGTGGGGAACAGACGGGAGGAAACACCTGCTGACTTGCTGATGACACAGGTGCTGACATGTCAGTGAGCACGTCACATAGTGTAGATTTCTATATTAATACTTGTTAGGCCTAAGGCATTGGATTTAGAAAGTTTTTACTGTGTCAGTTTGATTAACCAGCAAGGACAAAATACTGTCAGTAGGAGGACTATTAAATGTTAATGTCACTGCTGGCTGCATGTTCACAGCCTGAAAATAAATCAAAAATTCTGTGTAAATCCATCCTAAATCACAACATGACAAAGGACCAGCTGTATCGTTTCCATCTGGCCATGTTTCAATAACACAAACTATGTAAGGAATCTGATATGGGAGCTGTGGCTGTGTATCCGGTGTTTTGCAGTGATGCGTCTTTCCTCTATGTCAGCGGTTAGGATCGCAGAGAGATCATCTGAACTCCAGTGATGCTTTCCTGGGCTCGAACCAACTCCACATTATCCGTGAGACTTGAATTTTGCTGCTCCCACCCCCTCTGCAATCGGCCTCACATTACCATGAGCCCACAAAGTAATTTGTAGAGAGATAATTTCAATGACCTCTGACAGCAACTACACATTGTTGGCTGTTGTCCTTGTTTAGCAGAATTACTCTCAGGGGTTCAGCTTGTCGCTAGTTTTGGGGAAGCTGGCAAGAGTGTCTGTGGTAGCCCAATTAGTGGTTTTGGCTGACGGGGCAAGGGATCAGTGTTAGTTAGCGGAGCTCAATAATGGGCTTCGTGTTTCAACCTCCACGAAGATGAAGACACATTTTAAAATGTACTCTGTGCTTATTTTCATGCTTTGTGCTTTATGAAAAGACACAGCATGTCGAGCAGGCTCAGTGCAGCTGGATGCCATGAAAATCTCCTGCTCAAATAGCAGAAACAGAGAAGCAGGAATCAACTGAGAACTCGGCCTGAGTTCATGCATCAATCACTTGAGCAGATCCTGTTTATTATTTCAGGTGTAATCTTTGATGCTGGGTTTTGTCTGTGGACTACTCACCCTTTTAGAAACACATGTGGACTCTTTAAAGGGCACCTTATCAACTCCAACCCAGAATTTAAACTGTGCAGGGCAGTACTGCACTCAGCTTGAACTAGAAATGTCAACAATCCAACCAAGTAGTCTTCAATAACCAGTAACTATATGACAATGCACCGATCCTGTGTAAATAGGATTACTCTCATCTCCTCCAAAAGTGGATAGTGGCATATCTTTATTATTTCCATTTTTTGTCATTGGAAAGAATGTGCAGTGTCCTGTGGCCCACTGGACCTCTCTTTTCAGTTTCGCAAGAATGCTCATTCACATGAATTCTTACCCAAGTGAAAAAGAAATATACTAAAGTAGCACTTTTTTTGGATGCACTTATCATATTTTAATTGTACTATACTAAGTGTATATTAAATGTGTGTTATTTTGGAAATACTTAAAGTCAACTTTAAGATAATTGCAATATATTTTAATATACTTAGTTGTGTTAAAATGGACCTATTTTAAGTACCTTTACTGTAATTTAAATATACTTTTTTAAATTTAACTTTAAATACCCTTTTGTGGGTATACTTGAAGAACAGTTTAAATATATTTTAAATGTGTTCCCTGAACAAATTTTAATAACATTTCAGCACATTAGTAATTTATTACTAGTATACTCCAAGAGCCATTATTAAGATCTTGGGAAGCTGCTTTATGAAACCATTCAGTATGAGAATAATTCATTATTAATGCATTGAAAATATCTTGCAAAATGCCCCTTTAGCATAATAATAAAAACCACATACATATAGACAACCAAAAAACTTTAATTTTGTGTACATTACAAAAATAAATTCCTGTACATTAAAAGGTACAGCAGCATGTATCACATCTTGACCAAAATACCTTCAAATAAAAATAAAATCATTAAAATGATGACATATGATCAGTATTACTGAAAAGTACACTATACACATCCCATCATTAATGTTACCCATGGGGGTCTCTTATACGGTTCGGACTCTGGGCACGGCTCAGATGACCTCACGTGAAGCCATCCCACTTCTGACACCATATGTGGCCAAAGGCGAGAGCAGTCACCCTACCCAGATTCAAACACAGTTCTACAGGGTACCAAACATGCAACTTTGACAGCAAGGCCAAAGAACTAGGCTCGTTGGTGTGGCAGTCCAAGCGCTTACTCAACTGTAGTGAAGGTACTCCATCACAAGCTTACAGTACAAATGGTGGAACCAAACTGAAACTGAAAAATGTCACAATCCTTATCCTTGGAGTGGAAGGTCGGTATCTTTGAGTAGGACTCGTTGCATTTTCTGTGACTGCAGACACTATGGGATTTGGAAACTGCTTTATCACACAGCATCTGTGGAAGGGAAAAGGAAATATTTTGTCTATATCAAAGCAATATTACCTCCAATTAATTAATAACCATTGTCAGATTTTTTATTTTGTTTAAAGTTGCTGAAACATAATATGACGTCATGTCTAACTGTTCTGATGCTAACTTTTTAGGTTCAGGTGCAGTGTTTCCCGCAGAATTTTGCTTGCCTGCCGAGAATTGCATGCACTTCCAAATACTGCTTTTAAACGCTATAATTTTCTTTGTGGGGTAAATGATTCGAAATATTTCATGAACATTTAGAGTAGTTTAGAGCTGTTGATATTTTATTAGCAGTTTATTATTATTTACAGTTAGTAGAAGCAGCATTACTTGAGATTGAGCAATAAATATGTGGTGATAACCGCAATTGATCAATGAGCACAGCAAAGTCTCTAAAAAGGTCCTATACAGGTGGATGCATAATTTGGCAGAACAGATGATGCAGGCTAATTTACCTGCCGAGATATGCGTCCACCTCTTTTCTCAGCATAAAAGGGCGTTACCACATGCGAGGTGCATCTAATTCTCGGCAGGCAGGCAGAATTCATCACAACACCCGGCGCTGCAAAACATCACCATGATGTCACATCACTATGACATAACATTACCTCGCGGGAGCAAGGCGGTGGCAGGCGCCGAGTTTGACGGCGCTGTTTTTATACCCCGCCCACACAGTCGTCTGCATCTCAAATTAGACTAGCCTAGCAAATCGGCGAAAGTCAGCCGTAGTCATCTCGAACGCACCTACTGACTACCAGTTATGAATAGCGTGCTATCTTCGACAGCTGTAGGCCCATTCTAAAGTTAACATAGCTATCCTTATTGGCTAGGCTCCTTACATGCTCGCTAATAACTTTTTTAAAGTGTTCAGTGGTGTTCATGATACCAACCATTCAATTCACAGACGGGTTGTGTGCATGCAGGAGAGAGAGAGGGAGCGACCGAGTGCGTGAATGAATATGCGCTGTTCAGCACTGCAATTAAAATAGGTCGCCAAATTTGCTCGGGCGGCTGTTAATCTACCTGGGTGGCCCGCCCAAGTAAAGCCTATGTGTGGGAAACACTGAGGTGAAATGGTTTTCCACAAGGGACCTGTCCCAGTAAATGCACAGTTCTTCCATTACAACATAATCAAAAACATTACATAAACACTACTGTGCATTCAGCCAAGTAGCTGTATATGATAAAATGTTATTAAACAGGTACAACAAATAACAAACATACAGACTTGCTTAACAACTATTCTGTCTGCATGTCATTTCACATTAACACAGCTGTCAATTTGTGAAGTACAAAAGTAGCCAATTACTTAATGTATAACAATATTTTAAATTAAATTATTTTTCCACAAGAATATTTGTTTATTTAGTCTGACCCTGTTGACACGTATTGAGAGCAAGAACAGTGATCGTGCGCAGGAGCCAGACATACCTATGAGCACATTGAGCTTGTGAGGGTCCAGCTGGTCCTTTGAGATTTTCGTGGCCTCTGAGTGAGGCAACGATCCCAGGAAGCTCTAAAAGAAAAGAAGTGCAGTTGCAAATGAGATATAATAAATATTCAGTTAGGCCAGTACTTCCACCTAATTTATTTATTCATTTGCATTTCATTATAAACACTGTCATTCTATTCTTATAGCAAATCTTTATTATTATTCTTTATTTAATTTTTTTTATTTGAGCTAAGGCAGGAAATTCCAGCTGGTTTAGCATTAAGTTGGTTAAAGTTGGCAAAGGGTAGGTACAACTTTTAAAAGTTTAATACAGGATCTATGACCGTACAATGTACATAAAGTTGAGAAGTATTTTACATTACATCACAAGCTATTATACTGTGTGGTCAGGCATTGCAGTACACAAAAATATTATTTCAAGCGCGTCTTAAAACAATTCTCACATACCCGTGTACACTTTACTTTATTGGTCACTGTAATGATTACCCCTCCATGGTTGCAGTGAAGTGAAATCTCAAAAAAACAGTGTAGAAGATATCCACTTTTGAATAGTCTAACACAGATGCTTAGCTGATGATTCATAGTAGCTTCAGCTAAACTTTAGAATGAATTTATACAAAAATGACAACTGTGGTGATGTCTTTACAGACTACATGGGCAGGAATGATGATTACAGTGACTTCCTGTAAACATGGGCATGTGAGTATTAAGGTAGACTATGAAAATGTGAACCTATTCTTTAGCACACAGACAGCAACACATTAGTTGCATTTATTAACGTTACTCTGATAAAGACCTCACCGGTCATTTGAACAGTGCAAAAGCAGAATTGAGGGCTCATACACACACATGCACAGGCCTGCCTTTTTGAAATCTCATGCATAAAATTCCAGCAACAAGTTACTGAGATTGTTGATTGTTCCCGAAATTTTACTAACATTAAAAACTGCCATACAGCAAAAGTCAACACATTACTGTAACGTTAATTGCGTTTCTTTTGTAACACGTTACTCCCAACACTGTTTAAGGCAGACGAAAGTTGCTGTCTCGATTATGAAGCTATTAAAATGCTAACTAACGTTAGCTAACAAATATATTAATCCACGTGCTAGCATTAGCTAATGCACACCAGAGCTATCCACCAAGTAAAATATTTCCAAACCCAGAGTGAGCTCAACTTTAGTTAACTGACACAATTGTGTTGTCTTGCTAACAATAATAAACTTACCCTGAAAAACGATTTTTGCCGGCAGTATCTGCGTCTGTCCTCTCCTGCTTGTACTTGCCAGTCACGCCTCTTTAGCTCTTTTCACATTTAACTTCTGCAGGGAGCTGACCGGATATTCTGTGTTCTTTTCTTATTATGTTTGTGGTGTCCACCTTCCACGTCTGAGTCGGTAAAGTAAAACAAAGGAAACCTGAGAAACAAAATGATTTCTTGCCAGAAATAGCTTCCCTCTCAACGACAGTTCACACGTTAACTTTCGTGAAGCGGACTTTAACGCTTTGTGATTGGGTCGTCGATGTGAAAACCTTGATTCTGATTGGTGAAATTGAATCCACTGCGCTAGTGTGCTGGGCGGGGGCGCACTTCGCCCCTGTGTACACGTGTGTTTACTGTTTACAAACAGAAACAAGTATAACTGCATTATGATTTAAATTATGCTTATTTCTATATGTGGTTGTTTGTTAAGTTAACAACATGTGCTGCTTCCTTCTAGGCCAGGTTACCCTTATGAAAGAGGTCTCTGATCTCAACTACATATTTACCTGATTAAAAAAAATTAAAAGAAAGAAATGAAAAAAAAAAGAAATAATATGCTTTTGAAAAGTATATTTTAATGTTAAATAAAATCATACTTCTGGAAATCAGTCTGAAACATGTGGCAATTACATAAATAATTACAATATTTTGCAGTAGCACACAATGAAGCATGTTTGGCATAAATATATTTTTAACCCACTAAAAGTGTAATTGTTTAACAATGTACTTCCACAAAGTACACCTAAATAGTATTTACTAAGAGTTAAATAAATATATTTTTAATAAATACACTAAAATTTTGTAAAAAATATACTTTTATTTAAGCATATTTATTAAGTTTAAGTATATATATATATATATATATATTATTACCAATTTATTCAAAGTATACTTTTGAGAAATATGTTAAAGCTCAGGAGAATATATCTTGTTGTTTTTAGAAGTACGAATGTACTATAAGCATACTATGTGAATTTCAAGTATATTTTCAGTGCCTTTAAGAGCACTTCTTTTTCACCTGGGTAGATGTCAAGAAAAATGTAGAACTTTTCCTCCATAAGAATACCAATACCAAAATGTAATGATATCTCAGTAGAAATAAATTCTACTTATTTATGTAGATTAGAATATAATTTAAGATGTGAAAAAGGATTGGATCTAATTTTGAAGCAGAAGTTTAATATATAGTAGGCCTAGCTTATGTTATACTTGGTTAACATGTACTCAAGCTTTGTTTGATCTACAATTAATGTATATTTAGTTGATGCTGATTTCAGTAACGTCTAATAATTAAAAGTTTAACCACTATTTATTTACACTTTTTGCTGTCTGTTTGGTTCCAGCATTTTTGTGGATATGATGAATGTTTATTAGATAATAATTTGAAGAGTGTTTGTTTTCACAAATAATCTGTCAGCCTGATGGTTCTTTTTTTTTCTGGCTTAAGTAAACATTTATCCCCTAAAATACATAAAACAAAACAATAAAATGAGTCTTTAAGTTCCGGCAGGTCTGATTACAATGTACAATTGTTTGCCTTCAGAAGCGTATCGGTTAGATGCAATGGTAGAGATGATAACATGCTCTTATTTATAGTCTGACAGATATTTCTAGGCTATTGTGATATCCGCTTACCCAATATCCTCATAACATTTTTGTGGATATTTGAATTTGTGGGGTAGAGCTGCTCTTGAAAAGCCAGCCATTTCTTTTTTATAACTCTCTCTACATAGTTAAGCTGTCACATAATGGTCGGTATAAACTTGCAACACATCCACAATGAGCAAAAAGGCTTCATTTTCAGCTCAGAAAGTGGGGTAGGAAAAATCAGAAAGCCAGCGACTGGAATACTTCTTGGCAGATGCCTTGATTTTTGCAGCAAAGGGCTGCTTGTGAACGAATAAAACTCACTTTGGGGGGTTCATTGCTGCTCTAGAACCTGTGAGAAAACCAGTCATTGTACTCCAAGTTTCCAGTCTGATTAGTCAAGAGTCTAGGGTAAGCACTCTGAATTCTTGGGGTTTTCAATTTTAAGCCTTGACAAGCATCCAAATTATAGTGGAATGGCTTACCCGCTTGGTGAAATCTGGTATGTGGAAGCAGATATGTCCAATGGTTGATTTCATGCCCCTCGTGTGATTAACCAATCACAGTCAGTGATGAGCCATGGGAAAAACACTTTCTTCCATACAACAACATCACTTAGCCAAACCTTTAAATGGTTTCCTCCTGCCAGGTTGTGTTTAATGTAATTCCAAGCACAAATATTTTGACAAGGTGATTAATTTATGCTACATAAAAAGGTGATCTTTAACATGTTCAGGATGTTGCTATATTTAAACTGGCAAATATGAACAGAGCTTATATTCCGACATCCATTATTACCTAGAAATCCTAACAAAAACAAAGCTGCAGAAACTTGCTGCATTTTTAGAGTTTTCCTGCTGATTTTGGAAGATGTCACTTAGGTGGGACCAAGACCATAGAATGTAATAAACATTTACATTAAACCACACCAAAAGACAAACAGAATGCAGATTATAGAAATTTACATACATACAGATTTCTATAAATGATCCATTAATACAGTGCAATGAATAGAATTACACAAGCCTTTGTCCTCTCCCCAAGCCAGTCCCTTTCTGCTTCCTCTATATTACCATCTGCAAAGTTTCAAACAGTAACCCAAGAATGTATAATGTATAGTCAGTTATTTTAATAAATAATTTAAAATCAATGTGTGTGCAATTATTCATTACATATACAAATGGATTTTGTGCCGCGCCCTTACAGCTCACCTGGTAGAGCATGTACCAGTAAGGCTAAGTCCTTACTGCAGCCTGGGTTCAATTCCAACCCCTCTCTCTCCTGCCTTTCCCTCTCCGCAGCTGTAACTGTCTAATAAAGGCACAACAATTCCCGAAAAAACAATCTAAAACAATACGATTTTGCTATTACAACAGTAAGTCAAACTCCACCTTTCAATAAAATACACGAGATCGCATATTATTAAGAATGTTTAAAACATGTTTAGAGAAAACAGAATTTAAAAACACATTTTGTTTGACTTCTTTTTCTTCTCTGACCTGCTTTGGCCTTTTGAAAACTTCTAAAAGTAAATAAAGTAACAAATATAGACACAAAAGCATTAAATTCATCTCTATTTGTGAGTAAGGCTTGTTTTGTATCTCACTCAAAAATGATCACAAATATAAAATAGATTCGAAACCTCTCCCAAATGCAATTAAAAAATCTCTTTTATGAGTTTAATGGTTAGTGATGATTCTGTTAACCAAATATAAAAAAACACTTTATCTTCTTCTGCTGGTTCTTCATCCCTCTGAGCAATGGCGAGCCCCCCCATCACAGCTGGAATCGATACACTTTTCCTAGGAATGCGATGCATGAATAGATAATTACAGTCACTATGGCACCAGGAGAACGCCAATGAGTTGCAAGCGTTCAGTAATTACACTTCAGCATGTGAAAATAAGTGCCTGCAGTGCTGATTCCAGTGCTGCGAGTGTTGGTGTTAAAAGGAGCTGATAATGCCTGCAGAGTCACCGCTAGCTGTGAAACAAAAAGTAGGTTACGGACTTAAAATGTGAGGAAGAGCTGCTGAGGTGACAGTACTATATACTGTCACATAATGGCGTGAAAGCAACACTGAGACGATGTTTTTAATTGTGCTAATTAATTTCCCTGCTCTGTCTTTCAGTCAGATTTATTTTTAAGTTTTACTCCTTGTGTCCTGGGGCAAAATGCACCTTGTTTTAACTGCCCAAGATAGTGAAAGCTTTTTCTGTTTGTTCTTAGCTTGAAAACAAAATCGGTGCATCCTTGTTTGACCACCCTCCTGCAGAAGGGGTGATTCAGGGGTGACGGATGAGGTAGGACTGAAAAATGTGCCATTAGTCATCAAAAAAACCAGAAAACATGTGTAACGACCATGGGTGGTATTAGAGAATGCACTTATTGGCTAATTTGCGATAGGGCTGCTCTGCATCAATGCCATGTATCTGTTTTGTTTTACACATGAGGGAATGAGGGGACGTCAGCTCAACACACAAGTTTGATTCCTCCCAGTGTTTTCATGATGCAACCCGCCAACTTGAGCATGATGGCCAAGTGCAGCCACAGGAATCCATTACCGAGAAGGAGAGGCTGATTTTAGCCATGGCTCTACAATACATTGATGAAAAATAACCTTTTAGAAAGCTATGCATGTTATCCTCTGGGACTGACTCCACTCCTCCATTGTGTGTGTGCTGGATATTGTTAGGAAGAAAACAATCAAAGTTCAATTTTGTGCTTGAATTATTTTTCTTTAGTCTTTTGTGGAGGTATATGGGTTCACTCTGTAGCTGTAGAGGCCCTTGTTGTGGTGTAGTGGCTGTGTTGTAGCCACACAGCAATATAACAGATCTCCTGTGGGACACTGATTGAGTTTGGAACAGGGCAGGTTGGCCCTGAGGTATCTGAACAGGTTTAATGGACCTGCAGGAGCCCCCTGAGGGCAGCGCTGGCTAGTAAGGGTCAAAACGGGGTCATGTTTATTCAGTGAATGTTGGAGTGTGCCAAAAACCACGTGGTTCCTCCTTGTCCCCTTTCTCCCATTCACCTATTCTGTGTCTCCAGCCCTGACTGACCGTGCAGCCTAGCTCAGGCCACATCTGGATGCAATTCCCCTTTTAAGCTGATGCTGAAAAACCCTACGGAAATTCATCAGCCTGCGGGAAGCATGGAGATTTCAGTATAGCCAAAATGGAAGGAAGATGAAATTGTAAAATGGAGCTGCTATTTTATTTTCTTTATTTATGTTTTTTTTCAGTGGACCATGGTGTCTGTCAGCCTTAAACGATTGCTTGTACTGTGGGCTGTCAAATCTGTGGATTTAGACAAATGTGACATATTTATATGGATATTCATAGCCTTGTGGGGTTAGGAGGGAGCGCAGTTTAACATATGAGGCCTGTTTAAAATGGGCAGTCACATTTCATTAAATCCAACCAGATTTTGGAGTACCTGCCAATAGTTAACTACACTCTTTGTGAGTGACGTAATGGGGAAATAGGCCATGCACATGACAAGCAAAATATGGCACCAATTGTATGTATGTTTGACTAGTTCTTTATGCAGGACTATGGCAACACTAAAAGCAGTGTATGAACCTCAGTGAAGGCATGGCGCTCCTCTGCAATGTAAGGCCAACCATGACCTATTAGGCTGTTAACTTCACATTTTATCAATAGTTGGAAGAGAAGTGGGCTCAAAATGGGAATGTGTTCACCTTTAAAAATCTGAAACACTCTATACTATTTACTATGAAGTTAGTGG